ATATATATATATATATTTAAAATGTTTGTAAGACTCTAGCAACAACTTACTATAATATTTAAGAAAACAATACTCCCATTATTTAAAAAAACTTTAAAATTTATCATAGTTTAAATACTACCCCATATTGATTAATATTATTATTAATCACAACTCCATTGATAAGCTCAAAAAAAATATGATAGATAGAACTTAATTTAACAGGATAATTATCGAGTTAACTCATGACTTCCTCTTCCTTTTATCTTTAAACAGGGCATGGAGCCATTTCATATCAATTTGATCGTTTTACTCCAACTTCTCTCATCTTCTCTATTTTTCTTTTTTACATATTCTAAAACGATTCATAAAATGTTCTAAATAAGTTCAATCTTATTAAATATTAGATAATACTATAGTAAAATAATCCCAACAGATGATATTTTTATCTTTTTTCTATATATTTTTTCTGGATTAATTGCATTGCTCTTGGCCAATGCCTCTAGGTAGAGACTTCGGTGCTTCCCTAGCTCAAGCGAGGCCTTACGCCTAATGAGCTACATCAATGAATAGAGGTGTCAAAACGGGTCTTTGGGTTGGGTTCAGGTCCAACCCAAACTTGACTTGCTGTCATCTGACCCAGCTTGAACCACAACCCGTTAGGGAAACGAGTTGGAAATCCGAACCGAACTATTTTGGAGTTGGGTCAACCCAAAATGACCCGCTAACCTAGAAACATTATCCATGATTCCGCACTTTGCCTTGCCAGCACTATATATAGTCACCTATATCTCTGACGTCACATACAACTTAATATAACCAACCCTGATGGCACGTGACAATGCGAGCACGCCTTGTACCCGTGGCCCGTTACAGAATATAATCTGGCGAGTGGTACAGTGGAGCCTTGCTGCCACAAAACATTCAGTGTATTGTCGTAGTTAGCAACAACAATGTGCTCGGGGCGCACAACGGTGACAACGGAAGTGAATCCAACGTGTTTGAGTTTGTTCATTTCGAGTTGATTTTTTTT